TGTTTTTTGCAGACCTATGAAAAAAGGTTCTGATAGTCATATGAAATCTCAAGGAACCCTGAAGGGCCAAAACAGTCTTGCAGAAGAACAGTGCTGGACGCGTCACACTTACTCAATTCAAAACTTGACTCCAAAGATACATAATCAGAGCTGTGTGTTACTGGCAGAAAGACAGACATAAGCACTGATGGAATAGAACAGTAACCCCGAAACAAACCCTTGCAGGTGACTTTTACATGAGCGCTAGCATGATTCAAGGGCAATGGACGGCCTTTTCACCAAATGGTGCTGCCAAAACTGGACATCCACATGCAAAGACTGAAACTGGGCCCTTCCTTGATACCGTAGACAAAGATGAACTCAGAGTAGGTCAACAGCCGCAATGTAACACCTAAACTGTAAAGCTGTTAGAAGAAAACTTGGTTAGGACAAAATTTAATAACACTGAATTTGGCAGTGATATTGGTTATGGAAGCAAAAGTACAAATAGAAGAAATACGCAAGTTGGACTTCATGGAAACTTTAAAATTTTGTGCATCAAAAGATACTATCCATATATTAAAAAGGAAAAAATGGGAAAAGATTTTCAATTTAGGTATTTGTTAAGGTATTAATAATTAATTAATAATTAAAACTCAGAAACAAAAAAAGACAACCCAATTCAAAAATGGCAAATGAGTTGAATAGACATTTCTCCAAAGAAGATAAGCTAATTTCTAACAAGCACATGAAAAGATTCTCAGCATCACTAATCATTAGGGAAATGCAAATCCAAATTACATTAGTATGACAGCCAATACCCAAAGGGATGGCTACTAGCAGTAAAACAGAAAATTAGCATTGGCAAGGATGAGGGGAGACTGGAGCCCTCCTGCACTATTGGTACTTTACACTTTACAGTGGTACACCCTCTGTGGAAAACAACATACCAGTTCTTCAAAAATTCAAACTAGAATTACCCTATGATTCATCACTTCTGCTGGGTATGTGTCTCAAATAATTGATAGTGGGGTCTCAAAGAGATACTTATAAACCCATGTTCATAGCAACATTATTCCCAATAGCAAAAACATAGAAGCAGTGTTAAGTATCCACTGCTGGATGCGTAGATAAGTTAAATGTGATGTTAATAAAATGAAATATTCAGCCTGAAAAAGGAGAGAAATTATGACGTATACTTTAACATAGACAAACCTTCAGGGCATAATTCTCATTGAAATAAGCCAGTCACAAAGAGGCGTACAGTGTAGGATCCAGCAATATGAAGTACTTAGAATAGTGAAAGTCATGGAGCTGGGAAACAGGATGGTGGGTGCGGGGCTTCAGGGAAGAGAATGGGGGTTGTCAGTGGATACAGCCTCGTGGTTGTACAAGATCCAGGAGTTCTGGGGTGGATGGAGGTGATGGTTGCACTTTGTGAATGTGATTTTTACCCTGGAGCATATGCTTAAGCTAGTTAAGTTGCTATATTTTAAGTGTTTGTTACCTCAATTTGAATAGTTTTTTTTTGGGGGGGGGAGGCATTATAATATGATTTTTTAAATGGAAGCCCACTGGGAAGGAGGTTTACCAAAATGTCAGTAGTGGTTTGAATGAGTACGGATCTGTGCTCCATGTTGCGTTCTTTATGCTGTAGTGGAATATGCAGATGTTTTACAGCCAGCTTGCATTGCCTTTACAATTAGAAGATAAGCGTGATTTTCATTTCCGGGGAGGGGGGATGGAGTGAGATAGCACGTGGAGGAGCAGGTGATGTTCTCTGGTTGGCCGTGCACACAGGCTGCTGTGCTGAGACTTGTTCTCACCACTCACGGGCTGCCCTCGTCCTGTTAAATCTGCATTGTGTGTTGGAAGAAGGTGATTCCATCAATTCTTTAATTCTTCAGATGTATTTTTAGGACTTTTGTTGGAAAACAATTATTTCTGTGGGCTTACATCTGCTCTAACATTAGATTTTAAAATTCTCTACTGCTGAGATAATTGCAGCAGAAATATTCTCTGGTAGAGTGAATGACCAAAGAATGAGTGCATTGAGTGGTGGAAATTCTCCCTCCACGCTCACATGGCCAGCAAGACAACAGCACTGCAGGGCAGTGAGGATCTGATCGTGCTGTGTGGAAGAGCTAACCTTTGAACACACCACAACAAGACAACCCAGGAAGAGAAGGTTTATCTCAACTCTCACTGAGAGCCTGGCCCTCAGATGAGGGATGTGGCGGGTAAGGCCACCACTTGCAATGCCAGCAACCCACATGGGCGCTGGTTTCGAGCCCCGGCTGCTTCACTTCCCATCCAGCTCTCTGCTTTGATCTGGGAAAGCAGTGGAAGATGGCCCAAGTCCTTGGGCCCCTGCCCCCACGTGGGAGACCCAGAAGAAGCTCCTGCCTGGCTCCTGGCTTGGATCAGCTCAGCTCTGGCTGTTGTGATCATTTGGGGAGGAGTGGACTAGTGGTTGGAAGACCTCTCTTTCTCTCTCTCTGGCTCTACCTCTCTCTGTAACTCTTCCAAATAAATAAAATAAATCTTAAAAAAAAAAGGTAGGGACCTGTAGCAGGTGGCAGGAGAAGATTAACAGGAGTTCTGAGAACACAGTTTTACCCACTGACTCATTTTGCCAACCATAATTCACAGTAGATGTTTTAAGTAATTGCACTCAGTTGAAATATCACTAAACATGAGGTGATCAGAGAGCAAGTGAAGTGGTGACATTCCCCTCTTTCTGTCACTGCAAGAGAAATCACGTGCCGTGTTCTCCTAATAGGGAAAATTGGAAACTAGAAAACAGCTCTCCTAACGTCAATGCTCAAGTGATTGTCCCCATATGCTACCAAAGAATAGCAGAGAAAAAGTTAACATTATTATTCTTGCTTGTACTTTTTAAAGATGAACAGTTCTGTCACATAGCCCCAGGAAAAGTTACCTAAAAATGCCAAATTAGAAAAATGAAGGGAAACTTGATCCTAAAGAAAATCATTTTTCTTGGAGAATCGCCAGCTTTTGTTTCCTACCACTCACTTGGCAAATAAAAAGAGAGAAAACAAAGCCTTCTCATGCTGCCCTGTACTCTGATGATGAGACACCATGGTCCATTACGTACTTCCTGCTTTCGCGCAGGTATGTTTCACGAGAGGACTGGTTACAGGGAGACAAAACATCCGTTGTTTAAATGCAATGGGAGAAATGTGCAGTTGTTACCTTTATTTCCAGGTAGATTTGTTCAATACTTCTGTATTGAACTCCACCATATATCTGCCAAGAATGGAGAAGCACCAGGACTCTTGGCCACTTCAATTGCACCCTTTCAAAACCAGCAGGCAGGTGTTTTTTTGTTTTGTGTTTTTTTAAATGGTGGCAAACCACAGAGAAGTAACACTTCACAGCCATGAGGATAGCTGTAGCCAGAAGGAAAACCAGGAAGGAGGGAATGAGGAGGGAGGGACAGAGAGAGAGAAGGAAGGAGGACAGAAAGTAGCAGGCGTTGGCAACGCTGTACCGGAATTAGGGCTTAAGTACATGAGTGGCAGGAATCTGAAAGTTTCAGCCATTGAAGACAAGTTTGGAAGGTCCTCAGAACATCAGACAGTGGCGGTGGATGGCCTGGAAGACACCAGTGACGATGCTTGCATCAGGGCCCGAGCGCCTGGGTCTGATTCTTAGCTCCAGCTTCCTGCTACTGCAGACCCTGGGAGAAAGTGGGACAACTCAAGTAGTTAGCCCCCTGCCACCCGTGCAGGAGACCTGGATTGAGGCCATGCTCCTGTCTTCTACCCAGTCAGGGCTCTGTCTCTCTTTCTCTCTGCCTCTTGAAAACAAGAAGTTAAACATAGAGTTATCACCTGACCCAGCAGTTCCATTCCTAGGTAGACACAAAAAAGCATTGAAAACAAAGTCTGAAACAAATATTTGTACACAAATGTCCATAGCTGTGTTATTCATAGATAAGCCAATTATGATCATTCAGTAACAGAACAATATTGAGAAATCTTCAAATATTTGTAAAATAAGCAGCCCATTTGTAAACACTGCGTAGGTCAATGAGAAAGTCAGAATAGAAATTATATTTTTAGTTGAATGAAAGTGAAATCACAACATATCAAAATGTGGGGATGCTTGTAAAGCAATAGGAAATTTCTAATTAAACACTTAATTAGGAAAGAGGGAAGAATAGCCTCAAGTCAGTGACCTGAGCTTCCACTATTAAGAAGTAGAAAAAGTTGAACAAATGAAACCCAAAATAAACATAAGGAAAGAATGAAAAACTGAAATCATTCAAATTTAAAACAAAAGCAATAAAGAAAATAAATGAAACCGAAAGAGTAAAATTAATACCCATTTAACTAGACTGATAGAAAAACACGACAAATTACAAATGTCAGGATGAAGTGGGGGATTGCAGGTGCATATCATACAGATATTGCAAGGACAGTACAGGACTGGAGCGGGTTTTAGCCTGGCAGTGAAGACGTGCACATCCTACATGGGAGTGCCCGGTTTTGATGTCCGGTTCTGACTCCTGACTCAGCTTCCTGCTAATGCAAACTCTGGGAGGGAGTGGTAATTGGGTGACTGGCACTCAGCCTGGGGAACCTGGATTGTGATCCTGGCTCCTGGCTGGGGAGGTAGCCAGTGGATAGGGGAGCCTTTTCTCTTTGTCTTTTATTTATTTGAAACAAATAAGAAAGAAACATTGTGGAACAGCACCGAGGCACAGACAGTTTAAGCCTTTGCCTGTAGGACCACCATCCTGTATGGGTGCCAGTTCAGCTCCCAGCTGCTCTACTTCCGATCCAGCTAATGTGCCTAGGAAAAACTACTGAAGATAGCCCAAGTTCTTGGGCCCCTGCCACCAACCTGGGAGTCCTGGAAGAGGCTCTTAGCTCCTGGCTTCAGCCTGACCTATCCCCAGGCTGTTGAGACCATTTGGGAAATGAACCAGAGAATGGAAGATCTCTCTGCCTCTCTTTCTCTTTCTGTAACTCTGTCTTTCAAATAAATAAATAGTGCTTGCTTTGGCAGCACATATACTAAAATTGGAATGATACAGAGAAGATTAGCATGGCCCCTGTGCAAATAAATAAATACATCTTAAAAAAAAAAAAAAAAAACAAAAAGGAAAGAACAGAACATTGTGCCCATAAATTCAAAATCTTAAATGGAACATTTCTTGATTGATCCAAACTAACAAAGCTGACTCAAGAAAATAATACATAATTGAATAGTTTTATATGGATTGAAGAAATTTAATTTGGGGCTTAAAACTTCCCACTAAAGAAAACTCCAGACCCAGGGGCCTTTACTGGCAAATGCTACTAAGGAAGTATTTAATGAAGAAATAATATTGATTCTGCACAAACTGCCAGGAAATAAAAGAAGACAGAGCACTTCTCAACTCATTTATGAAGCCAGTGTTATTATGATATCAAAATAAGTTGAATGGATTACAAGAAAGAAACCTATAAACAGACACAAAAGTCCTCAAGAAAATATTAACAGGTCAAAATCACCAATATGTAAAAATGATACTGCATTATGACTAAGCAGGCTTTATCCCAAGAAGACAAAGCTGTTTTGATTTTTAAAATGAGTCAGTACAAATCACTATCTCAGCAAATTAAAAGGAAAAAAGTCCATGTGGTTATCTCAATTCATAATTTAAAAGTTTCTGCAAACTAAGAGTAGAAAGATTTTCTCAACCTGGTAGATGGAAATATAAGTATCTTTGTGATGAAAACCCAAGTATTTTCTTCCTGAGATGAGGAACAAGGCAAGGATCCCATAACCAGTTCAGTAAGGCAAGAAAAAAAAAATAAAAGGAATACAAATTGAGCAGAAAGAAATAAAGCTCTATTTGCAAGTGAAATAATTTTATGCAGAAAATCCTGGACAATCTGCCCCCAAAATATACTAGAACTAATAAGTGAATTAGTAAAGTCACAGGATTCAAAATTATTATATAAAAATAAATCATGTCTATTATTTAGAGATTAAAATTATAGAAAACTCCACCTACAGGAGCACTGTATAGGACTGTGAAACATGAAATACATAAGTATAAATCAATGAAACATGTGCAGTGTCTGTGCTGATGAGCTACAGCTACAAAGCACTGTTGAAAATAATCAAAGATCATCCCAGGAAGAGAAGGGAGACAGTGTGTTCAGTTGTTGGAAGAGGCCAGTTGTTAAGATGCCAGCTCCATCAAATTGTTCTGTGGATCGAATGAGATCCCTGTCAAAATCCTAGTGGAGATTTTTTTGTGGCAGTTGACAATCTGATTGTAAAATTTATTTGGAAAGGTAAAAACATCTAGAAAAGAGCCAAAACAGCTTTTAATAGGAACAAAACTGGAGGACGCACACTGAGACTTACTGAAAAGCTACTGAAATCAAGTAGTGTATTATTAAAAAGATAGATACAACACCTGGATCTGTGGAGAATACAGTCTAGAAATAGATGTGTGTGTATGTGTGCTTCAGGAAGTGTGTGGACAATGGGATTAAAAGACAGGTTTACTTTGGTGCAAGTTTTGAGATCTGTGCATACTAGGGGTCATCAAAAAGTTCATGGAAAATATATGTTGTGAAAAAAGTAAATGTGTGGATTTCAGAATTTTTTTGTACCTCACAAACTTTTTAAGTACTCTTGTACATATAATCAGTTGACTTCTGACAAAGGTGCAGAGATAATCTAATGTAAAAAGATTAGTCTTTTAAACAAGTGGTGCTGGAACAGTTAGACAGCCCCTTAAAACCAAAAATCAAAAGGAACAAAAGGGCATCAGTCCATACCTTGACATAGGCCTCAGAGATCCATGAAGAGGAGATTGGAAGAGATTCTGTTTGGTAGAAGTGGAGGACAAGATAAGACTACAAAGAATTGAAACTGGTCTGCCAGAGGGAATTACTGCAAAAAGACTTGTTTATTCGACTCACTTATTAAGTACCCTGCTGTTGCAACTCAGAGGCTGCCTTGGATTGGAGATCCCTTGAGGAAGTCACATTTAAGCAATAGCCACACAGCAGTGCGAGCTGCCGTGGGGTTGCCATGAGGGCCCAGAGGAGGAGTGGCGAGTCGCCTGCACTTAGCCTTCCCCAGCCAGCGCCATGAGCCCTGAGTGTGGAGAGGAACTAAAAGCTGGAGTGTAATTTATCCATTGTCCCTTTGAGGATTTTGAGAAATTGTTCATTTGATTGCTAAAGTGGAATATGGATCTCTTCCATCTGCTGCCTCTTGAATCTGTGATAATTACCCCAGACTCAAAGAATAGACAAAGTGAAGAAATCTGATGGGGTTTCCTTTTGTCTTTCCTGTTTGCTGTCGTTTGATCTGCTTCGAAGTGGGTTGCCTTGCTCTGGCTTCCAGTTGCTAGCCATTCTGTACAGTCTCTGTCACACAAGGAAATCAACAAAAGGTTTTCTCCAGAGGCTACCAAAACTCTGTAGGGATGAAAAGGTTTTTTTTTTTTTTTTTTTTTTTTTTTTTTTTCCACGAAACAGTCTCCATCATGTTCCATGCACATGGAAAAGGGAGCTGCCTGTGATCACTTGCCAGCCTTCTGTGGGTTTCTAATGCACATCCTCATCTCTCTTGGAGGGATTATTCATGACAACTTGTTCTCACACTTTGCTCAAAGCAAGTACTACTTCTATCCCCCCCCCCCCCAGTCTTCTATCACATAGCAGGGGCGCTGGTGGAGATTGCTTTTCCATAAAAAGAACTGTGCCACCTACTCCTCAAATGCCGCTGATTAAGAGAATCAGTGATTGATTTTTCCTGGGGAATAAATTAGGCCTTCCCTTGAGAGTGGAAAGAAGGAAATAATGGTATGTGAAGAATGAAGATGGCTATGTTATGAGGAAAATGTTTATGCAGTTGCCATGGAAACAACAAGTAGGCATTCAAAACAGGAGCTTATATCTCTGTATTTGTCAAATATAAATCAGATACGGATTGCATTCATTCTCTTTTTTGGCCCAGATTTAGTCTGACATATGGTTGTGTAAAATATGCTCCTGCTTTTGTGTATTCTCTTAATATTTGTGGGAGCCTGGCGATACACAGGCTGCCATGTTCTAAAAGCATGGAGTTGAGGCACAGAAATAAAACCCGAGAAGGCAGTTCTCTGCAAGTAATCCCTAAAATATATATATATTACAGCGCATAGTGCCCACTGCTGGGCTTTCCAGTGACTTTCATAATTGCCAGACCTAATTAATTTTTATTAATCTACAGTGTTGGACCTAATTGGCATGACTATTCATGAGTGATGTCAGGTGCTGAAAATGCAAGGCTTGGTAGTTTAATCTCGTTCCACGTGCGTGGTCTCACTGCTCGCGTGGAATAAGGCGCCACAGTCCATCTCTGAATGAACACTTTTCTGTTGCAAGGCATCAGTGGCCTTCGTCTTCACGCCTACAGTGAGGCAGGGTGGAAATCTAGAGAGGGTACATGTGCTTTTTGATGGGAGATTCCACAAAATGTTTCAGCACTTGAACTCTTTTTTAGTGACCGATACCAAAGGTAGGTCAGAAGATGGCAAACCGTAGGCCCTCCCTGCTACCCCGAGTGTGCGTTTGTGCCCGCCCCATGCCTCCCCACCCACAGAGGTCCTAAGCTGTGACCTTCAGCGCCCACAGCCAGGAGCAACCCAGTGTCGCCGCCATGTCCGTCACATGGCCAGAGCTGACCATGAAGTCTGTCATCCTGGTGGTGGCAGTGCCTTGGCCAAACCCCTGGGAGCTGCCCCGACTGTGGGCGTGTGGCAGCATCCGCAGCGTGGGCAACACGTGCCAGGCACTGCCCATCAGCCCCTGCTGTTAGCGTGATCCCAATGCTGGCCTTTCCTGAGGTGCTCGGCCTCATCCTCCGAGCCCACCGGCCACAGGACGTGATGTAGAGACCACCACTCCGCATTCTAGAATGGACTTCCTGACACACACTTGGGCACACGCAGGTAGTGCCCCGCAGCAAAGTCCTGGTTTGCATACCTGTCGTCCCCGCCTGGCGTTCCCTGAGTGATGGACTTCCGGAACCACTCCCCAGTCCAAGCCCCCCACCGGGGAGGAGGCCCATGCACTCACCTGCTGTGGAGGCTGTGTGTTTAAGGATGGGTTACACTGGTCATCCCTCTCATCGCTGGGTGTCTCTTCATGGAGTATCGGGCGTGTGTGGAGCAGCTGCTCTCCCAGCGCCGGGGTAACCTCAGGTAGAGGGTCGCCATGTGGATGAAGCCACCCTCCCTCCAACCCCAGCTCCCTCGTGCCCGGCGGTGCTGGCCTGCAGGGTCTGGCACCTGCGCTGTGTCCAGTAAAGCTCTGGGATGCAAACTGCAGCTGCAGCTACTGCCTTTTAATGGGGGACACAGACCAAAATAGTAGGAAAAGCTAAACGCAATTAGAATAGGCTCCTCTCCCGGGAAGTGGGGAGTTTGCCACTTAACTCCAGTACCTTGTCTTTTCACAGCAAGGTTATTGGCCATTTCATGGTCGTCAGTTTATGGTCCTGTGTATTTCCCTTCTCTTCGACTTCCTCAAAGGCATGTGCTTTGTGAGCAGAGAGCCTAGAGGCTTACTCTCTTGTTAAAACAGTAATTGCTTATGTAGTCCAATAAATGTAACAGTAATTTAATGAGACCAAATAGCTGTAGAGATTAAGCAGTGGGCTTTTCCTAAGAGGTAAATTTTAAGTCAAAATTGAACAAAGAAAGACCTTCTAGAGGGCGTTTTGGCAATATAAATAAAAAGTTTTGAAAATATATACCCTTTGATTTAAAAAAGTGTCTAAGAATTTATCTTAAGGAAACAATGCTGTGTGCAAAGATTAAATTGGGAGAATATTTATTAATTCTGTATATAATAGAGATATGCTGGAAACTACTTAAGCATCAGGTCAAAGGAATGCATATAAATAATTTTGGCACCAATCCAGAAAATGAAAACGGGGTATAACCATTTAAAATGGTATTATAGGGACCGGTGCCGTGGCCCAGCCTCTGCCTGGGCATTAGCATCCCATATGGACACAGGTTCAAGTCCCGGCTACTCCTGTTCCGATCCAGCTCTCTGCTAATGTGGCTGGGAAAGCAGTGGAAAGTGGCCCAAGTGCTTGG